GCGGGGTTCCCACAGACGCAGAGACAGGAACGACCAGAAGCCGCCGGTTACCGATGCAGACACTCCTTGGATTTTCACCAGAGCCATTGTTAGCCGGCGTGTGTGTCAGACCTGTCCGCCTTGGGTGGCCCTACCAGGAACGAAGTTCCGGGCGGCATAGCTCTGACACTACCGTTTACACCCCCCACACCGACTGTGAGGTAAGGGTTGGACTTTGGGGGCTTACAGTACCAGGTGTTCCCAAGCGGTCCCCCATCTAAGTACTAACCTGGCTCTACGATGCTTAACTTCGGTGATCGAACGAGAACCGGTGTTTCAGCGTGATTTGACCGTAAGCTGCTGGTTATTGTAGGTAGCTTTGGGTTCGTCTTGCTTCATGGATAGGTATCCAGAGCAGTAGGACATTTGCAAATTCTTGTTTTGCTCGCCAGCAGCGTCCTGCAAAGCGCATACTGTGTTGGCGTAAGATTGTAGAAATATCAAGGATGCTTCCATAGAGCTGTAATTTAGTTGGATCTTGTCTCCAAGAGATGTTGATCATAGCTGTAGTATCCGAGTGTAGGTTCTATAATTGTAATATTGTTTTAGCTGATCGTATCAGTATTGTTTTAATGCCCAATATACGTATTTAACGATTCTGACAGAGAAATAGTTTTTGATATTTTTGGTGACAGCTTTGTTAGTTAAAGAAAGATGGATGTATGGCGACCACCACCACATGAGAGACAAAACTGAAAGAAAGAAAATATAGAAAAAAATAAGCCAATGTTGAAGGCTGTTTTTAAATTGCCAGACCCCACGCTCCAGTATGTGTGTGTGTAATGGGGTTTGATGTTATATCCGGCTGGAGGTGACCATCTCTCTCTTTCTAACCTTATGAGACTTTAAAAGCGTTCCTACGGCTTTTTGGGTAATGATTTATTTTTTCCCCCTCCAAACACTTGCCCAGAGAGGAAACGTCTAAAGCAGAGATTCTGAACTGCCGTGCCGCGGCACACCACTGTGCCAAGCGATCCTTTAAAACGTGCCGTTAAACGTGCCAAAAATAAAAGAAAGACACCGCTCAACTGGAAGATCTGTCTATTATACATTCGACCAAACATCGCGATAAAACACCAGATACAGTTGCATAAATAGTTGAATGGAAACATTGAAATAAAGTTCATATTTATAGTGTATTTTAAAAAAAATTTATGGCTTCATTTCATATCCTTTAAATGTATACCCTTTAAAGATTTTGCTAAGAGTTCCGTGATATTTTCATATGCTCCAAAGTATATATATATATATATAAGTAGAAGGTTGGTACACATGGAATAAAATTTCAATAACCAAAACCATTATTCTTAAAAGAGTGTTCAATTGCCCACACTATTTTTATATAATTGAACACACTTTTTGGTTAATGGAATTTTATTCCATATGTACCAACCCTGTACTTAGATATTAGCTTCTATTATAATTGAGCACTGTCCATTCTATTTTTATATTATGGATAGAACCCCCCCCCTCTCTCTCTCTCTGTCTATATATATATATATATATATATATATATATATATATATAAAATCTTTATGTGTGTGTGTGTGGACGTGTGTGTATGTATATATATATATATGTGTGTGACTATCTCTGTCTCTGTGTGCATATATATGCTCTTTCTATAAACGTTATATTTAGTGGGGGCACTAGTTGAGTAGACATCCATGTTTTTTAAACTGTGGAATTTATGCCTACCTACCTAGAGACCGAGAAGTTCTACTAAGGAAAATGTACCAACTCGACATTTTCGCATAGTAGGACTTCTCTATCTCGGACGGTAGGCATATTCACTTTAAAAAACACCCCAAAAAACAAAACATCAAAAATTCAAAACTAGCCCATTTTAATAGCTATTTCATCCTACAAGAGATTCACTGCAGGATTTGCCAACACCAATGAGTTAAGAACTAAAACAGACACACGCACAAGCACACACACACTGTCCACTTTATTTTTATATTATGGATAGAACCTCTCTCTTTCTCTCTGTCTATATATATATATATATATATATATATATATATGTGTGTGTGTGTGTGTGTGTGTGTGTGTGTGTGTGTGTGTGTAAAAGTAGTAATGGATAGATGCCCAGAGCAGTAGGTCACTTCTTGTTTAACTCGCCAGCAGCGTCCTACAAAGCGCATACTGCGTTGGCGTAAGATTGTAGAAATATCAAGGATGCTTCCATAGAGCTGTGATTTAGTTAGAATTTGAATAAATGAATAAGTATTAAAAGTTTTTTTCTAATAATTCTTTTCACTATGTTCCTTTTAATATTGGACTTCAGTTATGTGAACAAAAAGAATTGTCTATCATTTCTATTGATCAAGGGCTCAAAATAAAGCATTCGACGATACATATTGAAATATTTTGAATTTCAATACAAAAGAATATCCCACATAAGATAAAAAGGCTTTATCTGTTTTATTGCAATTTTCTACATCTTATTTAAGTGAATTTTGCCTTCCAACTATAAATAACATCAAAAATAAGAATCAAGAAAGATTACACTCAATTGAAGAAGAAATGAGGTTCAGCTTATCGCACATTCAACCAAACATTGAAGAAATCGCATCCCCCCCCAAAAAAAAGCAGGCACAGGTTTCACACTAATTAAGCTACGCAAATAAAATACCAACGTTGAAATAAAGTAAGTTCATATTTGTGTGTGCATTTTTTATTAAATGTATGGTTTTATTTCATAATATTTAAATGTATTCCCTTTAAAAGTTATATTTTTGTGCGCCGTGATATTTTCGTTGGCTCCTGGGTGCGCTGTTGTGTTGGGTAACACAAATCTAGAGCAATGATTCCCAACGTGGGGCGCATACCTCACCCGTTGGGCATAGTAATATTTTAATGTGCCATGCATAAGATGTGCCCCCTTCGGCTTACTGTAGCAACATAATAAATGAGCAATTCGTGAATGAGTTAACTGAATAAATTTCTAGTTAGTCTGAATGAAATTGTTAATGTTAATGCTTGTTAATACATACAAAGCATATACGGTATGCATACATAAAAATATTCAGCGACGCCAAATGGTACGCCGAAACGTACCAAACCCAGTCTCGGATGAGGCGTTATTAATGCTGCTTATCTACATGATCTGCTCTCCTTTTACTTTCGCCCATAAAAGAAAAAAAAAACACATTCAGTAACACTTGAGCCTCGTATCGTGTAAAATAAAAACATATCACATATTGGAGAGGACGTCACCGCGAAAATCGTTACTCAATGATGATCCAGTTTTTTGGATACCTTTATGGGCTAGTGAGCCAATCAAAATGAGCTGACTCATTTTATAGTCCACCAAGAGAGGGGTTAACCAATCAGAAGCTCAAAATATTCAATCCGACGTGTATGAACGCAGCCATTTTATTTTTTCTCCAAAAATATCTTCACAGCCAACCTCTGATAATCGAAGAGCTGAAGAATTACAGAACAGCTGCTACTAGTGATATTGGCGTTGTTCCATTGAACACATTACGTACTGCACTGGATTATTCAGAGACTACGGCAAACATGGTCAACATTGGTTATGAGCCCAGATTACGACTGTATTTTGATGGAGACGAAACCAAGTACGAATTATGGGAAACGAAATTCTTAGGCTACCTTAGAATACAAAAACTTCATGACATCATTCTTTGCCAAGATGACCAGAAAGAAGATGATGATTTTATGGAAAGAAATGCGACCGTGTTCGCCGAATTAATACAATACCTGGATGACAGAAGTTTGTCTTTAATAATGAGAGAAGCCAAGAACAACGGACGTCGAGCCCTACGAATATTGCGTGAAAATTACTTGTCAAAAGGTAATTTATTGCTTTATATACTGAACTGACCGCGTTAAGGAGACGAGAAAACGAAAATCGTTACCCAATGATATCTGGCTCATGTTAGTCCTAAAGTAGGGAGCGAATTCCTATAAAAGAGGATCAACTCTCATTCCTTCCATTCTTCTCATCGGAGAAACAAAATATGATATACTGATCGTTTACAATATTTACATTGCTTGGACTATCATCCTCATCTTTGTTGCCATATTTATCACGCCGTTTCGGCCGTTGTACGCTCTGGCCTTCTTCAGGTGGTTGGAATGTCGAACTGAACCCTTGTGATAAATATGGCAGCAAAGATGAATATGATAATCCGAACAATTTAAATAGTATACATAATGCCTCAGAAATATAGACGGATACTGATCGCTTACCCGATCCTTTTCAGCAAGCGTATTGATTGTTTTGTCTTTTCGGGCATGAACTGCGCTCTCCTTGGACAATTACTTTATGCCCACACGTACCGAACGTCTGAGCTACTCTCCGATGACACACATCGATTCGCCTGGATATGTTGCTGGATCTGCTGGAAGAACTCGAGCATCCTTGTGACCTCTGACCGCCCCAAACGCTACTTCGCTGTCGATGACAGATTCCAACCAAAGTTCTACCAGTTCATTCCTTACGTTGACTAAGAAGTATCTGTCACCACTTCAAGAGGTTATCTCTCTCCGAGTCACTATAGTCTGGATTTAGTACCACGAATATGTCAGACTGGAAGCGTTGACGTTAACCCACTTAGTATGTCTGAAAGAGAAAGTGTTAATATTTGGCGCATGTCATGTAACATCAGTCGGGTCGTTTTCCATTTATCGTCCACTTAAGACGTTCTTTTAGATAACTGGGGGGGCTTTGTATATAAATGACGTTACAATCGTTTGGGAGAATGTCCTGCGGAGATGATACTTCTGTACTGTACACCACATTTATAGCCTTGTGGAATACGAAGCTACTAAATATATGAACAGTAGCCGGTTTAGATTAAATGACTACCAAAAGATTCTTGGAGATCAATTAAAGTAACCAAGCTGATATTTGTATCTATTTGTCTCACTATACTTTAATCTATCTTTGTTCATATCTATCTATCTATCTATCTATCTATCTATGTTAGTCTGTTTATAACAATCTATCTATCTATCTATCTATCTATCTATCTATCTATCTATCACATACTGCTCATATCTATCTATCTATCTATCTATCTATCTATCTTAGTCTATTCCTAACTATCTTTGTCTGTTCATAACAATCTATCTATCTATCTTTGTTCATAACTACCTATCACATACTGCTCATATCTATCTCTCTATCTATCTATAGAATTAAGCAGCTCTTAAAAAGAGCATATGTTCCTTTACTAGATTCTTTTTATATATGTCACTCTTCTCTTCTCTGTCTAACATTTCTAATCTATCTATCTATCTATCTATCTATCTATCTATCTTAGTCTATTTCTATCTATCTATCTTTGTTCATATCTATCTATCTATCTATCTATCTATCTTAGTCTATTTCTATCTATCTATCTTTGTTCATATCTATCTATCTATCTATCTATCTATCTATCTATCTTTGTCTGTTCATAACTACCTATCACATACTGCTCATATCTATCTATAGAATTAAGCAGCTCTTAAAAAGAGCATATGTCTATTTTCTAGATTCTTTTTATATATGTCACTCTTCTCTTCTCTGTCTAACATTTCTAATCTATCTATCTATCTATCTATCTATCTATCTGTTCATATCTATATATATATCTATCTCTCTATCTATCTCACATATATTCCTTCTTTGTATTCCTTTCATCTATGTATCTCTTCCTTTCTTGGTCTTACTTTCAAATACTCTGTTTATTAGCCACAAACTAATAAGTTAAGTCAAATTATAAATTGACCATGCTACTCGTTCTCTTCTTTTATTTACTCCCGCATAAAATGTCGAGAGATACAGACGATGACTTTTGACTAAGCACTGTAAATCAGATCATCTTAAAGTGGCTGCCTGATTATCATTTTATCTAGCTAATATATTTTCTTTCCGTCCTGCAACGTCGGAAAGGTTTTCCGATAAATTAGGTCCGCCATTCTCTTTGATCCTGTGTGGTACACGTCTGCGCATGTCAGAAAAATCATAAATACAGTAGTACGGTTTTGAAATGGGGCAAGCGATAACGTCGCCATATTGTCTATAAATTTCGGCTTTTGCGTACCATTTCTCAGACTTTTGATGACACCTTCGTTGGCGTGTTCTCATTTCAAGTATCTTTGGTAGATTATTAGACTGAAAACTTCAGTTTCCTATGATTTCATAACGATTGATAAGATTTATTACCGGAACAGATTTAAGAAAAAAAAAAATTTTTTGTGGCGTTTGTGAATATTCAACCTTATCCTTAATTCCGAGGCTACATTATTTAAAATTTATGAATCAATGTATATTGGCAATTAAATCTAATCTTTTTACTGTTGAAATAGTTATATGTAACCTTAAGTTCTATTCTAATAGTTTCATTTTCCCGACTGTAGAACTCTCTTCCGTTTTTTTTGTTTCTGTTCTGTGATATTCAAAAGAAGAAGAAAGTTTTGTCAATAAACTGAATGATTTTATATCTGATCTCACCTCTCAATTTATTCAGTAAAAAATGGAAGGCTAGGCTTTTTTCAATCATTTCAACCCAAACAAGGTGATAATGCCACTAAGACGTCGGGAGATACTGAGGATAAATTTGATAACCATCGCAGATAATGGCCGTAGGACAACTAATCGACAGTCGAGACAATAGTGTGTGGGCGTGAAGAAAATCAGATGCGATCACGGATGACGCAAAATTTTTCAAGGCCAAACTAATTTCATCACACACCTCGAAAATAGATTCATATTACTGCTCACGCCTGCAAATGAGTTAATCTGTGTAAAAAGTTGATATCGATTACACCGTGATTCCAGTGGTTTTACAACTGACCGTATGGCGAAAGAAAGGAAAATAAAGCGATTGCTTCAATTACTTTGCATAATAATGTATGATGAGGTACCAGACATAGATACTTGTTTAAGTTTACCGCTGGCTCAGATGGGTTTCGATCGGCTGGTTTATGATTGTTTTTGTTTAACGGCATATGTGTTATTTAATGCCGAAATTTATATATTTTCTACACAATTTTTATTTTTTTAGATAATAATGGGCTAGTTACACAAATCTTACTAATTAATACATAGCTGTGGGAGAAGAGGTGGATTTCATACATTTCCCAAATAGTATTTTTGCGTAAGTGAATATCACGAACTGAAGGGAAACTGAAACTCAGCTCTCCCATTAACAATTCCGATCCATTATCCATTACACCAACCGCACATCCAAGCTTATAGAATCTTCTATTCACTAGCAGCCACCCATTTAGGCACCAACCGGACACGACGTTGCTTAACTACGTTTATACCGGAATATTGATCTTTACTAAAGTTAAGTAAGTTAGATTGTTCCATTGTTGATTATAAGGATTACAACAGATCTCAACGGTTGAACCAGAGGATTAAGAGGGCTACGCGTGACGGACATGCTACAGAAGGCGTCACTCGAAATTATAACATAGCGACAGTCAGTTTTAGTTTCATAACGTTGATTCTGCAGGTCTCCTTCCATATGTGTCGGGGAGGGAAGGTCATGAAATCAAGTGTGTGAATCACTTCCAGGCAACAAACGAATTCACGGATCCGTATTTTTCTTCTATTCCAATTTTCTTTCACCTCCAGTCAAACCAATGCAACGCCTAACTGCAATAGTGAATGTGAGGCTGGAACAGGTTTGATTGAAATTGGAAAATTCTAGTCCTGAACCTGGGTTTTAGCGGCGAATTTAGTCATCAACGCCATCATCATAAAGGAAGCGAGAAGGCAAAGAAGAAATTAAATTCTTGGATATGAGATAAAGCCGAAGACGAAAAGTAAATCGGACACAATGAAAAATTAGAGGAACACTATTCTTCCAGTTTATAAAGTCCTACTTGCCCTTAAAAAGAGCATATGTTCCTTTATAAGGTCTTAATTGCCCTTAAAAAGAGCATATGTTCCTTTATAAGGTCTTAATTGCCCTTAAAAAGAGCATATGTTCCTTTATAAGGTCTTAATTGCTTTTAAAAAGAGCATATGTTCTATTATAAGGTCTTAATTGCTTTTAAAAAGAGCATATGTTCCTTTATAAGGTCTTAATTGCCTTTAAAAAGAGCATATGTTCCTTTATAAGGTCTTAATTGCTTTAAAAAGAGCATATGTTCGTTTATAAGGTCTTAATTGCTTTAAAAAGAGCATATGTTCCTTTATAAGGTCTTAATTGCTTTTAAAAAGAGCATATGTTCCTTTCTAAGGTCTTAATTGCCTTTAAAAAGAGCATATGTTCCTTTATAAGGTCTTAATTGCTTTAAAAAGAGCATATGTTCCTTCATAAGGTCTTAATTGCTTTTAAAAGGAGCATATGTTCCTTTCTAAGGTCTTAATTGCTTTTAAAAAGAGCATATGTTCCTTTCTAAGGTCTTAATTGTCTTTAAAAAGAGCATATTTTCCTTAATAAGGTCCCACTTGACCTTATATTTGCCCCAAATAGATTCAAAGCTTCCATTTAATTCAGATTTATTTGTACTTGATATCTTAAAATTGTCAAATATATTTACTATAAACGTTAATTCAGTGGTTACTCGAATTTTAGTAGACATCCCCCTTTTTTTTGGAGACGTCCAGAACAGGAATGGCACGGGGAACTAGAAAAATCTACCCCGGTGGATAAAATTTGGGGTTCGGTTCGAAATTCCGATCACCTTAAGAAGTCCGGGGCGTACAACAGAAGAAACGTTGTGAATATGACAAAGAAGATGAGGATAACAGTTCGAATAATGTAAACAATGCAAGTAATCATAATACCACATCTGAGAGATATAGAGGCCGAAACGTTGTGAATATGACAATGAAGATAAGGATAACAGCACGAATAATGTAAATAATGCAAGTAATTATAATACCTCATCTCAGAGATATAGAGGCCGAAAGATTGTGAGTATGGCAATGAAGATGAGGATAACAGTCCGAATAATGTAAATAATGCAAGTAATTATAATACCTCATCTCAGAGATATAGAGGCCGAAACGTCGTGAATATGGCAATGAAGATAAGGATAACAGCCCGAATAATGTAAATGATTCAAGTAATCATAATACCTCATCTCAGAGATATAGAGGCAGAAAGGTTGTAAATATGGCAATGAAGATAAGGATAACAGCTCGAATAATGTAAATAATTCAAGAATCATAATACCTCATCTCAGAGATATAAGGCAGAAAGGTTGTGAATATTGCAAATGAAGATAAGGATAACAGCTAATAATGTAAATAATTCAAGTAATCATAATGCATCATCTCAGAGATATAGAGGCAGAAAGGTTGTGAATATTGCAATGAAGATAAGGATAACAGCTCGAATAATGTAAATAATTCAAGTAATCATAATACCTCATCTCAGAGATATAGAGGCAGAAAGGTTGTGAATATTGCAATGAAGATAAGGATAACAGCTCGAATAATGTAAATAATTCAAGTAATCATAATACCTCATCTCAGAGATATAGAGGCAATGAAAGGATAACAGAATAATGAAATATTGCAATGAAGATATAGGATAATATTGCAATGAAGATAAGGATAACAGCTCGAATAATGTAAATAATTCAAGTAATCATAATACATCATCTCTCAGAGATATATTGTGAATATTGCAATGAAGATAAGGATAACAGCTCGAATAATGTAAATAATTCAAGTAATCATAATACCTCATCTCAGAGATATAGAGGCAGAAAGGTTGTGAATATTGCAATGAAGATAAGGATAACAGCTCGAATAATGTAAATAATTCAAGTAATCATAATACCTCATCTCAGAGATATAGAGGCAGAAAGGTTGTAAATATGGCAATGAAGATAAGGATAGCAGCTCGAATAATGTAAATAATTCAAGTAATCATAATACCTCATCTCAGAGATATAGAGGCAGAAAGGTTTTGAATATTGCAATGAAGATAAGGATAACAGCTCGAATAATGTAAATAATTCAAGTAATCATAATAATCATCTCAGAGATAATTGTGAATATGGCATAATACCTCATCTCATCTCAGAGATATAGAGGCAGAAAGGTTGTGAATATTGCAATGAAGATAAGGATAACAGCTCGAATAATGTAAATAATTCAAGTAATCATAATACCTCATCTCAGAGATATAGAGGCAGAAAGGTTGTAAATATGGCAAAGATGAAGATAAGGATAACAGCTCGAATAATGTAAATAATTCAAGTAATCATAATAATCTCAGAGATATAGAGGCAGAAAGGTTGTAAATATGGCAATGAAGATAAGGATAACAGCTCGAATAATGTAAATAATTCAAGTAATCATAATACCTCATCTCAGAGATATAGAGGCAGAAAGGTTGTAAATATGGCAATGAAGATAAGGATAACAGCTCGAATAATGTAAATAATTCAAGTAATCATAATACCTCATCTCAGAGATATAGAGGCAGAAAGGTTGTGAATATTGCAATGAAGATAAGGATAACAGCTCGAATAATGTAA